ATCAGTAATGATCATGTCTCACCTCTAGTCTTCTCTGTCTTAATTTCAGGTTTTCACCATGTGTTGTAGATAGTTCAGGAGGTTAACTCGACCAACAGTCTACTGTCAGGTACTGTTTAGAATACCAGAATAGGGAGGATGGTGTAGGTTTAAGTTTATTAGACTGATACATATGTACCAACAAGACAGTGTACCTGTGACAACAGCGTTTGTTTTCATTCAAAGGCTTTATGGTTTTTCCTATAATACCTGCTGGGCCGGTCTCTAGTCAAAATGCCCGGGACGATTTTTTGTCCCAGTCCAGCCCTGGTGATGGTTGAGTATGTATATATTAGATTTAGATTTTTTTAAAGGCAATAAAGAGATAACCTGTATAATTAATCGAACCTGGAAAAAAAATTGAAATAAATATTTAAAAACTCCAAAATCATCAAGACATGCAAACTATTGACCACAGCTGGTTCACAGCATCTCCTTCCTGGTTTGGTATCTCCTTAAAACATCTTGTACGTCTGTGTTTGTTAACTATCAGGTTTGTGACCAATTTCATTTTCTTTAGAATAACTTTCATAAAGAAAACCAGATCTGCAACTTTATAAGAAATTGCTTTGATCAACAACTTCTAATCTGTGTATTACAGATTGGAATAACCAACCTGACATAGGAGTGTCAGACAAACAGAGGATGACGTCTGTAGTGATAGATGTACCGAATGACAGCAACATCAGGAAGAAGGAACATGAGAAGCTGGAGAAGTACCCAGGCCTCAGTGAAGAGCTGGAGTAGATGTGGAGGATGAAGGTAACAGTGGTCTCAGTGGTACTGGGAGCACTCGGTGTGGTGACTCCCAAGCTTGGCGAGTGGCTCCAGCAGATTCCAGGAACAACATCCGAGAGCTCTGTCCAGAAGAGTGCCTTTCTGAAACAGCTGAGATTTTTTTATTGTTTTATTTCATAGAGGTAGGTTGAGCATTTGTACTGTATCGCTTTAAAGGACCGTCTCTTTCTCTGCATGAGACCAGTGAGTCTGTTTTTGTTCGGCTTCTGGAGACTTGAGTCACAAACAACAACATCACACTGACTCCACTCTGACATCACTGATCAATAATCA